TTTCTTATTTTTCTCTTCCATTTAAAATTTTTTGTTCAATTTTTCTTTGATTTTTAGTCATACTTTTAAAGTTCTATTTTTCTTTATTTCTATTTTCCATTTATTTTGAATTATATTTTTTCTCTAATTAACCATTCTATTTTTCTTTCCTTTTCACTTCTATTTTTTATTTAATTTTTTTATTTATTTATTCTCACCACCCCCCCCAGGGCAGACCAGCACTGCTGCCTACACCAGTTAATTTTTAATTCCAGCCCTCCGCAGCTCCTTTGCTGCCGGAGGGGTGGCTGCAGGTTCCTTCCCCCTTCCCCCAGTCCTGCTTGGGCTCATTTCTCATTTCCTCTTTCCAAAGCCCTTCCCCTTTCCAGCTCCTTCCCTGCACCCAGCGTGGATGCCCGAGCCAGCCCCGCACCCACCGAGCCCGCAGCGCCACAAATCCCTTGGCGACATCCCGGGACGGGGATGCTGTGCGGGCGCTGTCACCCATTCTGCCTTTGGAGCGGGGATTTCTCCTCATCTCATCCAAAGGCTGCGCCTCTCCTGGCAGCTCGGGCACCTCTCACCGCCACCGAGCGCGGATCCTGCCCATCCTGTGTTTAAATCCCTGGAAAACGCCATGCCTGGCGCTGCAGGAGCCGTGGCTGTGCTGCTGTCCCCACGTTGGGGACAAGGGTTTGTCCCTGCAGCCCCGCGTTGCCGGGCGCAGCTGGAGCGGGCAGCTGTTCCCTTTCCGCCCGCCCGCTCCAGGCATCCCCCGTGGTTTGCACAAGGCAGGAAATGTCAGCAATGGGCTCCGCTTAATGGCACTTCACCCGCGGCTCTCCTTAAAAATCCTCAAAGGAGCGTGGCTGGGATGGAATGGCAGCAGGAGCCGCTCTTGGCAACCTGCTGCACCCGCAGCCCCGCGGGGCGGCGCGGATGGAGTGCTGGGAACAGGGATGTCATTGTGGTACCCGGGATGCACCGCCCAGAGAAATCCCCGCGGCCGTGCTTAGCAGGGCAGGGAGCCCCCCAAACCCTTTCTGTCCCCTCCAACTCCTTTTGATTCCTCCAAAACTCCTTTCAGCCCTCCTCAAAACCATTTCAGTCCCCTCCAACCCCTTTTGCATCCCCCAAAACCCTTTCAATCCCCTCCAACTCCTTTTGGACCCCCAAAATGCCTTTTAGTCCTCATCAAAGCCCTTTCAGTCCCTTCCAACACCTTTTAATTCTCCCAAACTATCTTCTGATTCCTCCCGAGAATCCTTTCAATCCTCCTCAAAACACTTTCAGTCCCCTCCAACCCCTTTTGAATCCCCTAAAACCCTTTCAGTCCCCTCCAACTCCTTCGGTCCCTCCAAAAACCCTTTGGATTCCCCCAGACTCGTTCAGTTGTCCCTAAATCCTTTCAGTCCCCCCAGGAGCTGCCTCTCAGCCTCCCTGGATTTGGGATGTGGAAATCACTCAATGCCTGAGGTCCCCAAGCCCCTCCTGTGCACCCTCCCTTTGTTCAGGATGCTTGTGGCTGGCTGACAGTGCCACTGGGATTGGTGTTAATGAGTTATCCGTGCTCCAAGCTGCTCTGTGACAGTGGGATGGGAGCCACAACCTTTCCATGACCTTGGCCAGCCCCCAGGTCCTGGCTGCTTTGTCCCTGGCTGGAGTTCTCACCCCTGACCCTGTTTCTGATGAACCAGGGCAATAAGCTGTAAAACCGTGATTATTTTTTTGGCAAGGGTGACTTGTGCTGTCCCCAGGGAGGAAACGTGGTCAAAGCACGGTGGTGGCTGCCCTTCACACCCTCTGCATCGCTGGGATGTCCCTAGGGGTGTCCCCATCCCGTGGGATTGTTGGGGTTCTGGGGACACTCTGGGGCTGGAGGAGGCTGCTGTGGCCTCACTCCAGGTATGTGAAATTGGGATGCAGGTGCCTGAAGCTGTTTCAGGGAAAGGGTGGGTTTTGTTTGTTCCTTGCCTTCCTGTGTGGAAGAGGAAAAGCCACTTCTGGCAGCCAGCGGGACACAGCGGCCGGACACGATCAGGGAGGAGTGTCCCAGTCTGGAAGCCAAGCTGGGGTCACCCTGTGCTGGCAGCTGGGACCAAATTCCCCCTTTGGCAGCCTCTGTACCCCAGCCTCACCCTCAAGGCTTTGTCTCTACAAGGTTCTGTTCTGTGGGGGCAGTCAGGGCTGAAGGCTTTGGTCACCCATAGCCATGGGAGTCCTGTGGGTTGAGTGGTGGCCAGGCTGGGGCTGGTGGCACTGACAGAGCTGTCCCTTGTCCTTGTAGCACGGGGAGCAGTGACCCGTACTGCATTGTGAAGATCGACGATGAGGCCATCATCAGGTGAGTGGCCCAGGTCCCTGACTGGTCCCTACAACTGCTGGAGTCCCAAACCTTGCACCTTGCAGGTGCCTCCATCTGCTGCAGGCACTTGATTGTTATGATTATTGTTAAGATCATTATTTATTATTGTTTATCACTGTTTATTATTTCCTGCTTTGGGCTGAGATGCTCCTACAGACACAGAAGTGTCCAACAGCTCATGGCCCCTTTCCCTATACCCCCACCCCTGTGACTTGCCAGCCCAGAGCCACAAGACAGGACAAGCACAGGGACAGAGACTCACCCCTGCCCCAGCTGAGGGTTCCAAACTCTGGGTCCTGCCCCCAGCCACGCATCCCCAAAAGCTGGGAAGGTCCCAGGGCTGGGGAGCACTCCAGAGAGGGAGCCCTGTCCCCTCTGTCACCAGTGCCACCTGCCCCACAGGACTGCCACGGTGTGGAAGACGTTGTCCCCGTTCTGGGGGGAGGAATATGAGCTGCAGCTCCAGCCGGGTTTCCACAGCATCTCCATCTACGTCATGGACGAGGATGCTCTCAGGTGTGCTGGGGGCCCGCCCTGGGGACTCGGTTGGTGGCTTTGGCTCCCTGCATGCTCAGGTGTGAATACCAGAGAATCACACCTGGCCACGCTGCCCTGGGGTTTGGGACACCCATGGGTGAAGTTATCTCTCAAGGATATTGTCCAGCTGGCAGCAGAGGGTGGCTGATATGCTCCATGGGGACAGACACACTGTGGTGGCCCCAGTCCAGGATCCCTCAAACTGGGGGCTGTCCTACCTGGGCACCAATCCCACGGCATGTCCTGCTTCCCACTTTTGTTTTCCAGCCGTGATGACATTATTGGGAAGGTCTGCATCACCCGGGACATGCTGGCAGAGCACCCTAAGGGTAAAGGAAAGAGTGACTGGGGGGTCCCAGGAGGGCCTCATCTCCCACCCTTTGGACAAGCTGGTCCTGAGGGGTTCCCCAATGACCCTTTCATGGGGATCCCCCCTTTTCCCACAGGATACAGTGGCTGGATGAGCCTCAGCGAGGTGGACCCTGATGAGGAGGTGCAGGGGGAGATCCACCTGCGGGTGCAGGTCCTGGGCAGCCAGGGCAGCCGGCGGCTGCTCTGCTCCGTGCTGGAGGCCAGGTGAGAGGGGACACGAGAGGGGACACGAGAGGGGACACGAGAGGGGCAGGGCTGCGTGTGCAGCTGACACGTGGGTGGTGAGTCTGAGCTGCTCCACAACTCAGTTTCCCCGAGTACCAAGTCCTTTGGGTGCAGAGCATCCTCCTCATCATGGGGGGTGCTGGGGCAGGGTCTCCTTCTCCTGCAGGTTTTTGGGACATATATCTTGAGATTCCCTGAGAGAGGAATGGGTGACACGGGTGCCTGTAGGTATTTTGGGAGGTTGCTGGTAAATTCCCTCCCTTCTTGGCAGGGATTTAGCCAGGAAGGACCGGAATGGTGCCTCCGACCCCTTTGTCCGCCTGCGCTACAACGGGAAGACACAGGAGAGCACCGTGAGTGCAGCTTCAGCCATCGCCAACCTGCCAAGGGTGCAGGTGGGATCAATCCACGGGGAAGCCCGGAGCCATCCCTGTCCCCAGCATGCCCAGCTTGGTGTCCCTGAGGCGTAGACCCACCCAGCAAGAGGGGACACAGCTGTTGCCTTTGCAGGTTGTCAAGAAATCCTGTTACCCACGCTGGAACGAGACCTTTGAGTTCGAGCTGGCTGAGCCCGCTGGGGAGAAGCTCTGTGTGGAGGTGTGGGACTGGGACCTCGTTGGCAGGAACGACTTCCTGGGCAAGGTGAGCCCCAAACCCTTCCAGTGCTGCCGGGGTCCTGCCCAGCTGCACACTCAACCCTCTCCTGCCTTCCCCTCCCAGGTGGTGTTCAGCATCCAGGGGCTGGAAGCAGCTGGGCAGGAGGAGGGGTGGTTCAGGCTGTGGCCAGACAAGTCCAAGCCAACAGAGAACGAGTGAGTTTTGGCACAGGGTGTTGGGGTGTGCTGGGGGTGGTCCCAGTGCCCTCAGGGGCGTTAGGGAGGGGCGTTTTCCTGGGATGCATCGTCACTTTGGAGGGGTAGCCTGGGGTGTCAGGCCACGTCCTGCTTGGTGAAGCATCCATCCATCCATCCATCCATCCATCCATCCATCCATCCATCCATCCATCCATCCATCATCCACCCACCCACCCCGTGCTCCTGCAGGCGCCGAGGCAGCCTGGGCTCGCTGCAGCTGCAGGTGAAGCTTCGGGATGAGACAGTGCTTCCCTCCCACTGCTACCAGCCCCTGGTGCAGCTCCTGTGCCAGGAGGTGAAGTTGGGGCGCCAGGTGAGGGGTCCATGCCCAACCCTGCTGCAGCATCCCCATTTCCCAGCTCTGTGCTGTGGTGTGTGCTTGCCTCGGGCTGTCATGTTATGGTGCCTCTTCCCTCCAGGATGGCCAAGTGCACCTGATCACTCTCCTGGACGAAACCACCACAGCTGAGTGCCGGCAGGAGGTCGCCATCAACTTGGTCAAGCTCTTCCTGGGCCAGGGGCTGGTCAAGGAGTTCCTGGACCTGCTCTTTGAGCTGGAGCTGGCCAAGCCATGTAAGGCTAGAGTCAGAAGTGGAGCTAGAAGCTTCTTTATAATCTCCTGGGGCTGCAAAACTTCCAGGGCCTTTTGTGGGGATATTTTGGGAGTGATTGTTGAGGCTCAGCTATCACACTGTGGAATCTGTTGGGTTCATCTCAGCAAATCCATGGGCTGAGGTTGGTGGAGGAGCAGGTGGCTTGAGGTTAGGGAATCCCCATAACCCCCATGGAAATGGCCAGGAGGGCAGGGCACAGCCTCTGGGAATGACCCCCATGATTGCAGCTGCCCAGGGATGATCTGTGGCCATCCCCAGGCCATGGACTCTCTGCTGTTTTGCAGGTGAGCCCAACACTCTGTTCCGGAGCAACTCTCTGGCCTCGAAGTCCATGGAGTCCTTCCTCAAGGTGCTACACCACCCAAAACCTGCTCTTCTCAGGTCATCCTGGCCCTGGGCTGTTCCCTGGGGAAGAACTGGGAGGGCTGGTGTGTTTATGCCTTCCCCCAGGGCTGGGAGGCTGCTGGGATGCCAAATCTGTGGCCCATCACTGTCCCCTGTGTGGTCCCTTGGCAGGTGACAGGAATGCCATACCTGCACTTTGTCCTGGGACCCACCATCACCCGTGTGTTCGAGGAGAAGAAATACGTGGAGCTGGACCCCGGCAAGGTGGAGATCAAAGACGTCGGGTAAGGGGCTCGTGGGGTGGCAGGGCAGGGGTGGCCCCAGAGCTGGCGGTGACAGCGACCGTGCCCGCAGGTGCTCGGGGCTGCACCGGGTGCAGACGGAGGGCGAGGTGATCGAGCAGGGCCGGCAGCACCTCCAGTCCTACCTGGGCGAGCTCCTGGACGCCATCGTCAGGTCGGCCCCGGCGTGTCCCCCCCTCATCCGCGCCGCGTTCCGCCAGCTCTTCCAGCGCGTCGGGGAGCGCTTCCCGCAGCACCAGGTCGGGCTGTGGCGGGGGATGGCGTGGGGTCAAACAGGGATATCCCCAGGGGACAGGGCTCTCTGGGTGTTGTCCCCAGCTGTGGTGAATGGGGACTCTTGGGCAGGGGGGGCAGCGAGCGGGGCCGCGCCGCGTCCAAACAGCCGCCCCGGACATCGGTGTATCGCTGTTTGTGGGGTTGTCCCACGCTGGGAGAGACCCTGACGTGTGTTCCCCACCCCCTCGGTGGTCACAGCACGCCAAATTTGTGGCTGTCACCAGCTTCCTGTGCCTGCGCTTCTTCTCGCCGGCCGTGATGACCCCCAAGCTGTTCCAGCTGCGGGACGCACACGCCGACGCGCGGACCAGCCGCACTCTGCTGCTGCTGGCCAAGGTGCGACAGGGGACACCGGCCCGGGGCTTTGGGCTGCCTGGCTGCTTCTTGCTGGGGACAGCCGTGCCTCCTGGGGGTGACGCTGCCTCTCGCGGGGTCCCCAGGCCATCCAGCTGGTCGGGAACATGGAGCCGGCGGCCGGGCGCGCCAAGGAGACGTGGCTGTCACCGCTGCTGCCCGCCCTGCAGCAGGGCACCGCCCGCATGAGGGACTTCATCACCCGCCTGGTGGGCACGGAGGAGGACAAGGGCGAGGAGGAGGGTGAGGGGCGGCCGCTGGGGCCCTCCCCGGCCGTGGTGAAGGAGGGGCTGCTCCTTGTGCACAAAACACGGGGCAAGGGGCCGCTGCTCGCTGCTGCCGCCGGCAAGAAACTGCACTTCTGCCTCACCGGCGAGGCGCTCGGCTTCGGCAAGAGCCCCAGTGCAGAGGTAAGGACGTGCTGGAGGGGCGAGGGGTGGCAGCGGGGTGGCACTGACCCCCCTCTGTGTGTGTCCCCGCCATCAGCGTATCGGTGCCATCGCCCTGGGCGACATCCTGGCGGCCGAGAAAGTGGAGGAGAAGAGCTTCGGCAGCTCCCACGTCATGCAGGTGGTGTACACGGCCCCGGGCGGGCAGCAGGAGACAGCCTACCTGCAGTGCAAGGTGCGGCGGGGACCCCCGCGCGGGGTCACAGCCCGGGCGCTGGCACAGCCCGGGGTCCTTCTGACTGTCCCCAACCCCGCAGTGTGTCAACGAGCTGAACCAGTGGCTGTCAGCGCTGCGCAAGGTGTGCGGCAACAACCCCCGCGTGCTCCGCTCCTACCACCCCGGCGTGTTCCGCGGGGACAAGTGGAGCTGCTGCCACCAGCGGGACAGGACAGGTACAGGGAGGTGGCCCCGGAGCCCCGCGGGGGTGCTGGGGGTCCCCCCGTGTGCTGACGCTGCTGTCCCGCAGGGTTGGGATGTGACCGGACCCGGCACGGCGTCACCCTGCAGGACTGGAGTGACCCCCTGGACCCCACGGTGGAGGCTCAGCGCCTCTTCCATCACCTGCAGGGCCTCCGGGGGACCCTCAGGTGAGTCCCTGTCCCCAGGACACCCCGCACCTCCCTTGCAGCCCCTTCTCCTCCTGCCAAGGCCCGGCCCTCTCCTCCCCATCTCCCCAGGGAAAAGTACTGGGAGCTGCTGGAGCCAGAGGATGCCCAGAACGGCCCCCGGGGTGAAGGTAGGTTTGGGGTGGGGGTTTTGGGGCTCCTATTGAGGAGGTTGTCCCCAGGGACCACAGGGGGCTCCAGGGAAGCTGTGGGGTCTCAGTGTCCCTCCCCTCTCCCGCAGACGCTCCCCTGCCCGAGGGGCTGAGCCGGCTCTTCGCGGTGCTGGGGGACCTGGAGAGTTGTCACCGCCGGGCGCAGCCCCCGGAGCCCCCGGCCCCGGCCCTGCTGCAGCTGCAGACGTGAGAGAGCCGGGTCCTCCTGCCTCGGGCACGGCGGCCATGGCAATAAAGGCACTTTGTACCCTGCAGCCCTGTCCTGTCTGTGTGTTGGGGATGGTGTGGGACTGCCCAGAGCACTGCTGGTGCCACCGGTGCTGCTGATGGTGACAGTTACACTGGGGACATCTCTTAGGTCTCTGCTGGTGGCATCACTAGTGGCTCTGCTGGTGGCCTGATGAAGGCACTGGTGGGGGTTCTCTTAGTGGTGCTACTGATGGTGGCACTGCTGCCATTGCTTGGTGTCCCTGCTGGTGCCATTTCTGGCAGCCCTGCTGCTGCTGGTGGTGGTTCTATTGGTGGCAGCATCGGTGCCGTCGCTGGTGGTTCTGCTGGTGGCCTATTGTTGGCAGTGGTGGCATCTCTGGAGTCTCTGCTTATGGCCCTGCTGGTGGCACTGGTGCTGTCACCAATGTCCCTGCTGGTGCCAGCTGCTCACTGCGGTGACCAGCCTCCAGTGGGGACACCGTTGATGGTGTCACTGGTGTGTGCTCTCCTCCTGCCACGGCCGATGGCCGCACCGCTGGCTCCGATGCTGGAGCCAGCCCTGTCCCTGCTGTCGTCCCCCGGCGCTGCTGTCCCCGCCGGTCCCACTGGTGTCCTTGCCCGCAGCGGGTCCTCCCGCCCGCCTGGCGGCGCTGTGGGGCCGCTAGAAGAGCCGAGAGGGCGGAAGTGACGTAGAGGAAGTGAAGTGAGGCCGCCATAGCAACGGCGGGATGAATGCTCCTCCGGCCTTCGAGTCCTTCCTGCTCTTCGAGGGCGAGAAAAAGTGAGGAGATACCCGGGGGGCGGCTAGTTAAACCCTAATCTAATTAAACCCCAGTCAGGCCGCGGGGAGCTGGCGGGAGGGAGCCCGGGCCTTTCCCCCCGTCCCCCGCTGTTCCTGGCCCGCACGGATCGCTAACATCCCTGTACCCCACAATCCCCCCAGGATCACCATCAACAAGGACACCAAGGTGCCCAACGCCTGCTTGTTCACTATCAACAAGGAGGACCACACGCTGGGGAACATCATTAAGTCGTAAGTTCTAGCGGGGAGGAAATTACGGGGGAGGTTTGGGGCTCTTCCACCCTTCATTTTATTCTTTTGGGCTTTTTGTTATTCCCCTTCCAGGCAGTTGCTCAAAGACCCGCAGGTATTGTTTGCAGGGTATAAGGTCCCACACCCTCTGGAACATAAAATTATCATCCGTGTCCAAACCACCCCAGATTACAGCCCCCAGGAAGCTTTCACCAATGCCATCACGGACCTGATCAGTGAACTCTCCCTCCTGGAAGAGAGATTCAGGGTAAGGGATTTTTTTTCCTTAAAACTATTTGAGCTTGTTGTAATTCATCAAAGGGATGGGGTCGTGTGTCACAAAGCTGCTAAGTTTTAGGTTTAAGAATTAATTGAAACCACCCTCCTTGTGCTGTTGAGCTGCAGAGCCTGGCTGCTCTTAAGTGCATTTGTATTTTCCCTTTTTTTTTTTTTTTAATTCTCCTGACAAAACTCTGGGCCCATATTTTCATGTCTCATTGCTTCCCCTCAGTTTATTTATTGACATAGCCCTTGAATTCTGAAATTTAATCTGCCCAAAATATTCCTCAGACAAAATCAGGGAGAATGTGATTGAGACAGTACCTTGGATGTGCTGGGAAAAGGCACCAGGGCACCAATTTGTAAAGAAGTTTTGATTTTAATTTCAGTATTATTTTTCTGGTTGCTGTAGAGATTTCCACTGTGGGTTGTTGTGATTCACAGAAGAGTCAGGAATGATTAAACATCCACCTCCAGCTCAGTAACAGCTCTTGTCTTAGTATGTGTATTTTTGCTTTTGCTTTACAGGTTGCTATTAAGGACAAACAAGAAGGAATTGAATAAAATACCCCCTTTGGAGCAGACTGTTACTTCTGAGGCAGAATGACGTGCCTGTTATTGGATTAAATATTTAAACCTCCATTCATGGCAAATATATTCCCCCTTGTCCCACTTCTGTTTAATTTTTGACAGCAGCAGCAATATTTTCAGTTTGTTTTTTTTTTTATCATAGCAGATAGGCACTTTGCCAAGAGGATAAATGCTGTGTTGTATTTGGTGGATAAGTCAATAAAGTGATTTTTAGTTTTCTAACTGGAGCCTTAAGGCAAATATTTGTCCTGGGCTGTTGGAGAGGCTGTTGTGGGTATTCCAGCATGAGAAGCTGCTCAGTGACAGCTGGAGATGAACTCTCTGCTTTTCCTGCCAAAAAGTCCAGGCACTGCCAGCTGAACTGGTATTTTGTTTTATTAAGTGTCATTTCTATAAAACAAATGCACAAATTGTGAAAACTTACAGTAAAAGAAACCGGATGTTTACAATGAACTGATGAGTTTAACAAACTCTTACCTTGTTTTTTTGTTTTTTTTGTTTTTTTTCTCCATCCTGCACATACAGCTGGTCTAGAAAACGTTCATGGGCACATGGGTAACAGTCACTAATACTGCACTAGGTCAAAGCACGGGGGTGGAGCTGTGGCACAGGGGACTATGACTTCTTCCAGATTGCTGTTATGTTCACACTGGTCAGCACAACAAGGTAGGTGAAGGCAGGGTCTGCTACCACGTTGTTCACCAGGATTTCAGGAGGCTGCTCCCCGTTCACCCGGAGCTCTGGCCACTTGAGAATCTGTGGGGAGAGCAGAGGGGGTGGTGGTCTATCTGAGGGGAGATGGGGCCCTGGGGATCCTGAGGCAGAAGCTCTTCCATTTTCTGAGGGGCTGATGGAGCTGTGTGATATTCCTAAAGGGCCAAGGTTTAGTGCACAGGGGCTTGAGCGGGGAGGGACAGGTGAAAACGGCTGGAACTGTTTGTGTCTCTTGGCAATGCACTTCCAAAAAACCTGAGGAATCACAGAATTGTTGAGGTTGGAAAAGACCTCCCAGAGCATCGAGTCCAACCTGTGACCGAGTAGTACCTTATCACCCAGAGCAGAGCTCTGAGTGCCACCTCCAGGGATGGCAGCCTCTTCCAATACCTGAGTAACTCTTCCAGTGAAGAAATAATGGAACACTGGGTCAGCTTATAGCTCTGTCTCATGTAGCTCTAGACCAGTGGGTGAGAACCTTTGGAGTGTTTGTGATTGTCCTTTCAGAGGGACAGGAAAGGGAACAGTGACTGCCCAAAAGAGAACTGTCTCCAGAGGGAAATACAGGGCAGAAAAAGGGTGAGTGAGCATAGGGAAGCAGTGAGCCCTTCCCTCCCTTCCCTGGGGCATGTGGTGCCTGCACACCTGTGCTTTTGTGCTCCTCAGTTTAACCACCACTTTTTTTGGGCTGTTTTAGGAAGAGCTGCAGGGGGTGACAGATTTGCTTTGCAGTTCCTTGTTCCTGTCCCAGCAAATGGCCTTGGCCATGCTCTGGAGGTTACTTTTAATTGTTTGTGAGGAAATACAAGGCATGTTCTGGGATAGGCCTGCTCAGGAGACTGAGATCAGCTGTCCTGGGGTGGAAGGGAGGCCCAGACCTACCTGTGTGGGAGAGATCCTCCGCTCCGAGCGCTTCCCCTTCGCAGAGCTCCAGGCCGTGGTGTAGTTGGAGAGGTTGTACATCCACACACTGCCCTTCTCATCCCCACAGAACACGTACTCCTTTGCTGTGAGAGCAGAAGAAAAAGCTGGGAGATGAGTGTGGAGCTGGGAGTCTGTTCTGCTGTAAAGGGGAGCTCCAGGAGAGCTGCAGGATCCCAGTGGAGGGTGCCATATTTCAGCAAAATTCCCTTACTGCACAAAAATACGAATCTACCTTGCTCTAAAAGAATTCATTTGAAAATCAACCAGCTATCTTTAGAGTAGAAAAGCTAATGCTAAATGCTTTTGGATTTCTCCTGACTTTTTTTAGGCTCGTTTTGGGTAGTGCTGTTCCTTGTCAGTCTCCCAACCCAGCTGTGTGACATCCCTGCCCACAGACACACTCAGCATCCCAGGGGCTCCACAGGGCGCAGCCCTGAACTCTGTACTTTGAAAACCTGTGCAAAAAAGACCCCCCCAGGCTCGACTGTCCCCCCTTTCTGGGCAGCTGTAATTATTTATTGCTCGTGTTATTTCCAGCCAGCTGGTGCTGGGCTGAGGCTGCGCAGTGCTGGAGCTGCACTGCAGAGGGGAGAGCAGAGCTCTCTGATGGGCTCTGAAATCCAGGCCTCTGCCTCCAGCTCCAGGCTGATCCCATGGATCAAAGGAGAGCCGTGGACAACGGGGCAAAGCATTACCCAGGAAATGGGTGCTCCTACCTGGGCAGGTGCTGAGTGTCAGGTAGGACATGTCTGTTGTGGACCACTCCAGCTCAGCCAGAATAACTGCAGATATTGTCTGTTGGCATCCTTTTCCCTTGGCATCAAAAGACCTGCTCCAGCTCCACAAGTATATGCATCCTGGTTTGGAGCTCTTGGAAACTAGGGAAGAAAGGAAGGGAGAGGCTGTGTCAGCTGCTGGGAAGCAAAGTACATTGACACAGAGGTGGTCCATCCAGAATATGGATTTTAAGCCGTGGGATCTGATGCAGCAGCAACTATTTCCACCTACTTTACCTTATTTCAGGATAATTGGAGGTTGCAGAGAGATGTTCAGTGCTATGCTTATGTTCCTGAGCTGCAGGACAAGCATAAGCTATTCAGAAAGAGCCAGCCTATGAAGTGAAACCCCTAGTTCCCCTGAAAAAAAAAAACTTTTGCCACCACCCTTTGAGCAGAAAGGGACTCTCCTGCCTTCCACATTGGCACTGCTTGGCCAAGTGTGCTCTCAGAGATGTGTCCAGCTGATTTGCAGTCCTGTCCAAGCATGAGTTTGCACTCCAGGCCACATTTTTGGGAAAGACAAATGACTCTGGGAGACAACTCCATCCTGTGCAGCCCCTCAAAGAGGCTGTCACACTCCTTTCAGCCTCTCTGCTTGTCATGGTGGCTTCACCCTGCACACACTGAAGTGCCCTACTGTTTTTGGGATTGTGCTGTTGTGTTTATACTCACCAACGACATCATCATTGAGAAAAGCCAAACCATCAACCCTGTGAGATGTT